AGATGGATGGGTGGATGGATGGGTGGGTAGATGGATGGGTGGATGGATGGGTGGATGGATGGATAAATAGATGGGAGAATGGGAGAGTGGGTGGATGGGAGACTAAAGGGAAGGATGAGCAGGCAGATGGAGAGAAGAGGCTACACATCTCCACGTGAGGAAGTGGCCTGCTCAGCAGTGTTCGTGGGAGTCTCAAGTCCTGGGGGTCTCTGCAGTGCTGCTGCTCAGGTCGGCTTTCAGCACAGCGTGCATGCTGATGCTGCAGAGGCCTCTCACCCTGCTCTTGCCCCCAACTTGCTGTTGTCTGTTACACAGGGCAATGCTGATGGTGGGGCAGGCCCTGTGATCCTGAGCCTCAGGGATGGGATTGTGTGGAATTGTGGGAGCTCAGGTAGACCAGATGGCAGCAGATCGACAGCTATAGCAACAGAGACAGAAAGTGTAGACACTCCTCTTCTGTAACACTAAGGTGAGGCTGGAAGAAAACACTGGCCTGTGCATAAAGTTCAAAAAAGGTCCTGGGAGAGACACATGAGGGATTTGAAAAGATGCCATGATCCTGGAGGCCACCTGCTCCCAGAGGACAGCCAGGGCTTGTCCATGCTGCCTGAAGGGACACTCGTCCCTCTGCCCTAGTGGCCCAGGGGCACTCACCGTCCACAGCAGGTCCTGGTAGTGCACCAGCATCTGCACCACCTCGGCTGCCCCCTCTGCCAGCTGCTTCTCCTGACCCTTGGGGATTTTAGGGTGCCGCCCTTGGTGCAGGAAGAGATTAGGGGCCATTACTGAGGAAACGTTCCATAAAGTCATCTTGTTGTGCTGTTCCCGGGCCACCACCTTCCTGAGGAATTCCAGGAGTGCCTAGGGAAGGACACAGAACCTGCCTCAAATTCCAGCACATCCCTGATGGCTCCTCCCTTCTCCAGAACATCTTGATGCACGATGTGGGGGCACTAGGAAGGAACAGGGGCTGGGAGGGCAGGTTGTCGGGGGGTTCACTTCCACTTTGCTAGCAGCCCACTCTGTGACCTGCATCCAACTTCCCTGCTCTGCAAAATGTGCCCGAAACTCTTTCCCTTCCCTGCTCCCTCAGAGATTAATGAGAAATCTGGGTCAGATTTTATCTTCCAGGTAGAAAAGGGCCACAGGTCTGGAAAGAGGATCTTTCCCAGTAAGCCCCAGGACACCTCCTTCTTTCTGGGTTTTGGCTCTACCCAGAATGCAAAGGAGAGAACTGGGAAGCAGAGATGCTGAAGGACGGAGGCAGACGGGAACAGCTGCCATTCACCAAGTGTCCTTTTGCTCCTGGCCCTTCCATTGGTACCTTGCATGCATTTATCACCTCCTTTAATCCTCACAACGCCACAAGGTAGTTTTACTACTGTCCCTGTTGTATAGAGAAGGAAGCTCGCTTGGAGAATGGGCCAAGGGCCACACAGCCATTATGTGGAGGAGGGAGGAGGGGATAGAAGAAAGAAAAAAGAAATATGAATGGATGGGTGGATGGGTGAGGATGGATGGACAGAGAAAAGAAGACAGATGGATGGATAGAAAGAAGAAATGGGTGGTGCCCGTAGCTTAGTGGCTAGGGTGCCGGCCACGTACACCCAGGCTGGTGAGTTCGAACCCTGCCCGGGCCAGCTAAACAATGACAACTGCAATAACAACAACAAAATAGCCGGGCGTTGTGGCAGGCACTGTAGCCTCAGGTACTTATGAGGCTGAGGCAAGAGAATCGCTTGAGCCCAAAAGTTTGAGATTGCTGTGAGCTGTGACAACACAGCACTCTACTGAGGGCAATATAGTGAGACTCTGTCTTAAAAACAAAAAGGAGGACAGGAAAGAAGAAATGAAGGACGTCTGAATGGGAGATGGGAGGAGGGATGGAGGGAGGCGGGAGGGAAGGGCACACGCCGAGCACCTGCAAAGTGCCACAGCTCCTCCTCCGTGATTTCTCATGTGTGAGCTCTTATAGTTCCTGTAACAATCAGACAAGATGCTATCATCATCCACAATTTACTGAAAAGGAAACAGAAACTCAGGGAGTTTCCTCACAGGCTCACCTTGGAGGCACATCTTGAATCTGACCCAAGGCCAGTGAGGAGTTTGCAGGCAGCTGAGCCAGGTCTGCTCCCAGCCCTCCGCCCTGAGCACCCACTTGCATATGACACGGTGGAAATGCCTTAAGGGCTTGCTTCCCAAACGGGTTCCCCACGAAACACCAGGACCTTGCAATGCTTTCCACATTCCAACAAAAGAGGCCCATGATCAACTGAGTTTAGAAAATGCGCTAATTCCACCAGGAGGTTCACAAAGCCTTGGCATGTCAAAGGCTCTGAGAAGTCCTGCCAGACAATTATCCTTTGTTTTAGTAACTCCATGTTTACCCATCTTATTGGGACACAGAGCCCTTTCCCCTGTGACACTTGCTGGCACCATGTGGAATCCATGTTCTGTAGTGCCCACTCTGGCTGGGACTGTTCCCTTTCAGGACTCAGCTGCTTTCTTTAAGAAAAAAGTCACTGGTTCAGCGCCTGTGGCTCAAGCAGCGAAAGCGCCAGCCACATACACCTGAGCTGGAGGGTTCAAATCCAGCCCGGGCCCGCCAAACAACAATGACAGCTGCAACCAAAAAATAGCCAGGCCTTGTGGTGGGCGCCTGTAGTCCCAGCTACTTGGGAGGCAGAGGCAGGAGAATCGCTTGAACCCAGGAGTTGGAGGTTGCTGTGAGCTGTGATGCCACAGCCCTCTATCCAGGGTGACAGCGTGAGGCTCAGTCTCAAAAAAAAAAAGAAAAGAAAAGAAAAGAAAAAAGTCCCAGGCAGATCTGCATGGGTCCTCCCTGCCCCCAGCACCTGGCATAGTTGTTGAAAGAATGAACGAATGAATGAACAAGCACATTTGGGACCATTACTGTGTTTGTGGGCTGAGATGACAAAGTGGCGGCCTCTCGGGGTAACTTTACCTTCAAGACATTTCTGTTGGGTTCCGGGAGGAGGAGGATGAGCAGGTGGAGAGCCTGTAGACGCTGCTTCAGGTCGGGGATGTCTGTGGGAAGGGGGAGGCCTCAGTCTCCAGGGGAGGCTCAAGGATTCTCCTTCCCTTGGTCTGGCCTCTTTTGGGGGGAATTCCAGAGCTGGAAAGCCCAGGGATGGCCAGGAACCCTTTTGTCATAAGGCCTGGAACTATTTCCTGGTGTCCTGTCAGCTCAGAGGCTCACTCCCTATACTTTGTGAATAAAAAGTAAACACACTGGTGTGCGCATCCACACACATGCCCGGACATTCTGACCCTGAGCTACAGCCCAGGGTCAGAAATACAGTGGGCCAGCAGCTTGCCCTCAGGAGGACAGACAGATAGCTCAAATGTCCTGGACAGAAGGTTTAATGAAACCCTTTGTGTTGCAAAGGATGAAAAGGAAAAGCTGTCCCATACCTCAGTCAGAATCTCCAGGGAAAAGAAGCGGATGACAGTTATAGAATTCAAAGAAAGAGTTTATTCCAGCCAGACCAGCCCTGTCAGCTGAGGACTAGCTGGACCCTAGAGAATCACCAGAATCAACACATGGGGGACAGAGGCTGAGCACCCAGGGCTCAGCTGCTAGGATTCCATGTAGCATTCATTCATTCACTCACTTTCTTTCTTTCTTTTTCTTTTTTTTAGAGAAAGAGTCTTACTTTGTTGCCCTCAGTAGAGTGCCGTGGTGTCACAGCTCACAGCAATCTCAAACTCTTGGGCTTAGGTGATTCTCTTGCCTCAGCCTCCCAAGTAGCTGGGACCACAGGTGCCTGCCACAACACCCGGCTATTTTTTCGTTGCAGTGTGGCCAGGGCTGGGTCTGAAATCTATCAAGTACCTATCAGGTATTGTGCTCCAGTCCAGGGACCCAGGACATAGCAGTGAAGGATGCAAATGAGGTTACAGATTTGTGGAGCTTCTGTCTCAGGCGAGAGATAGATAACAAACAAGCAAAGAAACAACTAAATGTCTCCAGACACTGATTCATCTTATGGGGAAAACAGAGTAATACAGACACTCCCCACCACACCCAGCTAATTAAAAAATTCTTTTAGAGAAAGGGTCTTGCTGTGTTGCTCAGACTGATTTTGAACTCTTGGCCTCAAGCAATCCTTGCACCTCAGCCTCTCAAAGTGCTGGAACTACAAATGCATACCACCTCGCCGGGCCTGGTTTACATTTTTAAACTAGGCTGTGAGAAGCAAAGGCCCTTGGCTTGAAGGTAGAAATCAGACTGCTTGAACGCTGAAGCTTTTTAGAGAAGAGAGAGAGAGAAGTCCTCAAGGTTACCAGTGACACAAGTGGGAGATCAGGCAGGTTGCTTTATTCTTTTGAGAAAAGTAAAAATGGCTTGGAGTCCATAACTCAGCGGTTAGAGTACCAGCCACATACACCAGGGCAAGGGGGTTTGAAGCCAGCCGGGCCTGCTAAACAACAGCAATAACTACAAAAAAAAAAAAAAAAAAATAGCTGGGTGTTGTGGGAGGCTCCTGTAGTCCCAGCTACTTGGGAGGCTGAGGAAAGAGAATCGCTTAAGCCCAAGAGTTTGAGGTTGCTGTGAGCTGTGACACCATAGTACTCTACCGAGGGTGACACAGTCTCAAAAATAGAAGTGACTGTTTTGCATGCCGTGAATTGTGAGGAAGTTCAGACAGGACCATGCTCATGCAGGATATAAATAGAGACGGGGTGGGCACAGTGCTCACACCTAGAATCCCAGCACCTTGGGAGCCTAAAGCAGGAGAATCACTTGAGGACCGGAATTTGAGACCAGCCCGAGCAACACAGCAAGATCCTCTTACTACAAAAAATAAAAAAATCATCCAGGTGTGGTGGCAGGCACATATAGTCCCAGCTACTCCAGAGGCTAAGGCAGGAGGATCACATGAGTCCAGGAGTTTGAGGTTGCCCTGAGCTATGATGATGTCACTGTGGTCTGTCCTGGGCAACAGAGCCAGACCCTGTCTGAAGACAAAAATTATACAGAAGGATCCATCCAACACGCAGCAATCTGCAGCCGTGCACATAGGTGGACGTGCACCACACGTACCCGCAGATACCCTGTTAGACAGACCTCATAAACTCAACTCTGTGGATGTCAGGAAGTGAAGAAACCACCAGACAATTTATGGATGTAACAGGATTCAACCTGTATCCCTTAAATCTATTAAAATAATAAAAAAAGAAGTGAAGGAACCTCGGCCACTGGTCCCTGCGGGGACTAATACGGACCGTGGTGCACGTCAGCCTCCTCTTCTCCCCCACCACGTCACACATGTGCACACTTGTGCGTATCCACACAAGACACATGTGCACATGCCTATGCACACTCGTTGGGCACACGTGCTCACACACACTTCCTCCTGCATCAGCTCGAGGTCACAGGGAACAGGCATTCCTGCAAACAGGGAGTCCTGTCTTCACACCCCCTCCAACCAAGGCCCGTGACTTCCAACTCTCTGCTCCACAGCAAAGGGCTCCGGCACACTCACTGGGCACCACAGCGAAGGCCGGGAGGTACTCAGCGGTGAGCAGAGGCGTCGGCAGCTTCCGGATGAATCTTTTGAGCAAATCGGAGGCATCGTTGTGATGAACCTCGTCCCAGCTGAAAAGGCCGGTGTAGAAGTCTCTCTCCAGCTTCTGCTCAAGCCCCTACAGGAAGGAGAGGCGTAAAAATGCAGATGGTCCAGGAGAAGTTGCATGACTGCTTTGGGGGGTACCTCTTTCTTCATTGCAAAGTGGGGACCACAATGGCACCTCCCTCATGGGGCTGATGTGAGGTTTAAATGGCCTAATGCATGGGACTCACTGAGCACAGGAGTCCACTCACTAGATGTTAATAGTCCAACTCCAGGGCCCACGATCTCAACCACCATAGTAACATGCCACCTCCACTCTCTCAAACTCTCCCAGAATCCCATGACTCACCAGAGACCAAAGACACAACAGCAACCAGCCAGGGACTGGATTCTGTCCCAGTTTCATACACACAAGGGTGAATGGGGAGGTGTAGCTTTGGTGAAGTGAGGGAAGCCAAACCATTACCTTGACCCTGGCCTGGGATCCAGGCACCCGGAGGATGCCTTCCACATCCAGCCCCTTCTTTTCCAAACAAGACAGCAGCTATCAGAGAACAAAACCAACATTTAGGCCAGCAGCCACAAAAAGGTGAGATTCAAGCGGTGCTCGTAGCTCAGTGGATAGGGCTCCAGCCACACACACTGAGGCTGGCAGGTTCAAACCTAGCCAGGGCCAACTAAAACAACAATGACAGCTGAAACAAAAAAATATAGCTGCGCGTTGTGATGGGCGCCTATAGTCCCAGCTACTTGGGAGGCTGAGGCAAGAGAATCACTTAAGCCCAGGAGTTTGAGGTTGCTGTGAGCTGTGATGCCACAGCACTCTATCCAGGACGACAGCTTGAGACTCTGTCTCAAAAAAAAAAAGGTGAGATTCAAACTGGCATGTTTCTCTCCCACAAAAGCCCGGAAGAGAACACCGGCAGCAAGGTTCCCCACCACCAAATAGTCATTTTCTTGACCACTTCCACAAGCCAGGCATTCTGAGAGCTTTTTTTTTTTTTTTT